TCCTTTTTTTTTTTTTTTTTTTTTGAGACGGAGTTTCGCTCTTGTTACCCAGGCTGGAGTGCAATGGCGCGACCTCAGCTCACCGCAACCTCCACCTCCTGGGTTCAGGCAATTCTCCTGCCTCATCCTCCTGAGTAGCTGGGATTACAGGCACACGCCACCATGCCCAGCTAACGTTTTGTATTTTTCGTAGAGACGGGGTTTCACCATGTTGACCAGGATGGTCTCGATCTCTTGACCTCGTGATCCACGCACCTCGGCCTCCCAAAGTGCTGGGATTACAGGCGTAAGCCACCGCGCCCCACTGTGTGTGTATTTTTAGCAGTTGTAGGGCAAACAATATACATTTAAATTATCTAGAGCTATTCAGAATTTGTATTGTGCCTGTTTGTGCTTTATACTTGAGACTTCTCACTTCAGCTATACAGAATCTAGGTTTCATTAAAAGTAGCCTTTATCATTTTAAAGATAAATGTTGGGTTTATTCACTTTCTCGGTCACCCAACATAAACATTCATAACCATATGTAAGAATCTGTATTATATACGTTTCTCTAGTAGTCAAAGACAATGTTTTACATTGATTTTGACTTAATCATATTTTCCTTTAATTTGAAATAGCCATGATTTTAACTTGCTTGGCTCTAATGTTTATTTGTGTCAGATGTAGTAGCTGTTCTGCAGCCCTGGAGAAAAACTGTCTTAATGATTTTGGCCCGGTCTTTTTATAAGCTTCAAGAATATGCGCTTTATCAAGTATTCATACAGAGTCTTTTACTTGCTGCTTTACCAGAACCAGAATCTTTCTCTCAGTCCAGTACTCATGTTAAATGTGGCCCCACTGTGTGTACATGTATTTTATTTGCTTCGCAAATGGGAGAAGGCAATGTGAGTTTTCGTCTTGTCTCCATTCTGGGAATCCTGGTGCCTGAGCTTTATTGCTCCCCTGTAGAGAGACCATGGCTGCCTTTCCATGTCCCTAATACATGCCTCAAAGAACTCAAGAGCCTTCTCATGCTACTAAAAATACGGAAACTAGCTGGGCGTGGTGGTTTGCGCCTGTAGTCCTAGCTGCTCAGGAGGCTGAGGCAGGAGAATCACTTGAACCCCCGAGGTGGAGGTCGGTCTCTGTCTCTCTCATTCTCTTTCTCTCTGGGAAAAAAAGAGGTAATTAAGAGCCAGGCGTGAATCACTGTGCCCAGCCAATTCATCAGATTCTTAAAAGTGTTTTCTGTCCTGTAGAAGATGAAGAACCACCAAATCAAAAGAATTAGCCTGAGTTTTAGCTTCCTGGTGCCTTTTTATTCAAATCACCCTTGGCCAGTACCTTTGCCCTCAAGACATTTTTTTCCCCATTCACTTTCTGATTTTCAAAAGGAAATGTAGATTTCTAGGAGAAGGCTGATCTACATACACATAAATGGAATTGTCTCGGATTGTAGGCCCTCAAGCATCTCCTGGTTTAAGGTAGCATGGAGATAGATGCCTTAAGAAAGCTTTTAGCAAAACTGGTTTTTGTTTTGAGTCAGAGTCTCACTGTCACCCTGGCTGGAGTGCAGTGGTGAGGCCTCGGCTCCCTGCAACCTCCGCCTCCTGGGTTCAAGAGATTCTCCTTCCTCAGCCTCCTGAGTAGCTGGCATTACACGTAAGAGCCACCATGCCTGGCTAATTTTTTTTTTTTTTTTTTTTAAGTAGAGATGGGGTTTCACCATGTTGGTTAGGATGGTCTTGAACTCCTGACCTCGTGATCCGCCAGCCTCGGCCTCCTGGAGTGCCGCCACCACGCCTGGCTAAAAGTGATGTAATTTAAACTGAGTAGGACAGTAGGCCTTTTGGAAAGGAATCTCAAACATGCAATTCTTCCAGACGAGTAAGGGCTTCCAGACAGATGGTAGGCCAAAGGAGCGGCGCTGTAGGTACACACCCAGTGTCTGCTCGGCTGGTGTGCCTGTACTTTCTCAGCCTCACTTTGGAATAAGAAAGGTCTGGCTCCCTGGCCCAGCATCTTCTGCACCTCCTACAGTGAAGCTGCTATTCTGGCGAAACGATACAGATTTCACTGATTCCGTGTTTTATTTTATTGCAGAAAAAAGCAGACCTTAGTGATTGTGCAACATGGTGTACGTTAGAAATTCTTGAAAGCATGCGATAAAGAGATTTATTGCCAAAGGATGATTGTCTTCTTCACACTTCTGGCTACTAAAAAAAGCAGACTTTTTTTTTTTTTAAACTTTTTCATTTTCAAATTCACCATTGCCACGCTGTCTACATTTTAATGCAAGCTTGAACTACTCTTTGCCCTGCTCCTCACTCCTGAAGGGGTGGCAGCAACGTCACAGACTTGGAGAGGCGGCCAGCCCAAAGCCCGCACGGTTCAAGCAGGTCTTATGGCCAGTGCTCGTGTGCTGAATGTGAACGCCGCAGTCCCTGAAATGTGTGAGAGCCCCGAGGGACGCTGCAGTCCCTGAAATGTGTGAGAGCCCCGAGGGACGCTGCATCTGATAAGCTACTCACATTTTCCCCAGCGAGATAATAGTAGGGGAAAACGTTTCTTCTCTGTTTGAAAAATCAAACTGTTAAATTTCTTATCTGCCTAAGCCTCCTTAATTTTTTCCATTAATATTTCCTTTGACTTTGCTGCAAATAAAACTACCATAGATTATCAGTCAACATGGTACATGCCTAATTTTAAAATTATACCAATAACTTCTTTAGGCCGCTTCGTTATTTTTTTTTTAATTTCACATCAAGCATGAGGTACATTTTTTTTAAAATTTTTTTTTTTTTTTGATACTGAGTCTTGCTCTCTCATCCTGGCTGGAGTGCAGTGGTGCAATCTCAGCTCACTGTAACCTCTGCCTCTTGGGTTCAAGCAAGTCTCCTGCCTCAGCCTCCTGAGCCGCTAAGACTACAGACGCACATCCCCATGCCCAGCTAATTTTTTGTATTTTTAGTAGAGATGGGGTTTCACCATATTGGCTAGGCTGGTCTAAAACTGACTTCATGATCCACCCACCTTTGCCTCCCAAAGTGCTGGGATTACAGGCGTGAGCCACCTCACCTGGCCACATGACGTAAATTATATCTTGATTCTTAATAGTTGAGATGTAAAATAACCATCTAACAAAAACAGCACTTTTTTTCATGCAAGGCACATTTAGGAACTAATCAAAATGCATGGCCAGGCATGGTGGCTCACCTCTGTAACCTTAGTACTTTGGGAGGCTGAGGCAGGCGGATCACCTGAGGTGAGGAGTTTGAGACTAGCCTGGCCAACGTGGTCAAACTAAAAGTACAAACATCAGCCAGGCGTGGTGGTGAGTGCCTATAATCCCGGCTACTCAGGAGGCTTAGGCAGGAGAATCACTTGAACCTGGGAGGCGGAGGTTGCAATGAGCTGAGATCATGCCATTGCACCCTAGACAAGGCTGCAAAAGCAAAATCTATTTTTTTTAAAAAAAATGAGCCAGGCGCAGTAGCTGACACCTGTAATCCCAGCACTTTGGGAGGCCAAGGCGGGTGGATCACAAGTTCAGGAGATCGAGACCATCCTGGCTAACACAGTGAAACCCCGTCTCTACTAAAAATACAAAAAATCAGCCAGACATGGTGGCAGGTGCCTGTAGTCCCAGCTACTATGGAGGCTGAGACAGGAGAATCCCTTGAATCTGGGAGGTGGAGGTTGCAGTGAGCTGGGATTGTGCCACTGCACTCCAGCCTGGGTGACAGAGTGAGACTCCGTCTCAAAAAAAAAAAAAAAAAAATGATCATTTACACCTCGGTGTGGTAAGATGCACTTGTAGTCCCAGATGCTCTGGAGTCCAAGGTGGGAGGACTCCTTGAGCTCAGGAGTTTGAGTCCAGCCTGGGGAATACAGTGAGACCCCATATGGGGAAAAAAGATATTTAATACAATTATCGGATTGCCAGATTCTACCAAAGAAAAAAATTTTAATTGCCATGTAGGTGTCTTAAATGTTCTCGATAGAAAAACTGTCTCCAAATTTTAGTATACAGACCTGGGAGGATTGCTTGAGTCCAGGAGTTCAAGACCAGCCTGGACAACATGGTGAGACACCATCTCTACCAAAAATTAAAGAAAAAGAAAATGTAGAATGCAGTGTTTTGTAACATGCCTTAAAGTTCATATAATAGAATGTAAAATTATAGTTGCATATCAGTGTAGCCATTTGTATTCTGGAGGCGTTCCCGCCTTTGTATCTTAAAATGAAATACAAATTAGCTTAGGCCAACTACGAGTTTCTCTTTTTCTTTTTTCCTGCCGCCTAAATCAGGAACCCAACTTTGTACTGTCTGTCTGAACCGCAGAGTGTCTAATTGTATGCGTAGAGGGCGAGACTTTGGCCTCAGCTTGATAGTCTACCCATGTGATTATGCGTTTATCAACTGCACCAGAATGTGCTATTTGGGCTTTAAAGTCAACCTGTTCTATAAAAAAACCTCTTATGTATTTATCTTCCTTGATAGTCGACAGAACACGCTATCCATGTAAATAAGTAGAAGCTTCATTAGGTGCTTTCTATTACTGTTGTTCATTTCTGCATTCTGTGTAAAAGTTGTCAGCTGGGCCAAGCGTGTTACCTCACACCTGTAATCCCAGCACGTTGGGAAGCCAAGGCGGGCAGATGGTTTGAGCCCAGGGGTCTGAGAACAGCCTGGGCAACATAGGGAGACCCCCATCTCTACGGAAAATACAAAGATTAGCTGGGTGTGGTGGTGGTGCATGCCTGTGGTCCCAGGTACCTGGGAGGTCGAGATGGGAGAATCTCTTGGGCCTGGGAGAGCTGCAGTGAGCTGAGGTCGCGCCACTGTGGTCCAGCTTGGATGACAGAGTGAGACCCAGTGTGTTTAAAAGAAAAAAAAATCTAAGCTGTCAGATCACGAGTTCCCTCTCCCCGTGTCTCTCCCCCCCTCCGCCCCACTTTTTCCAACCATCCTATATTTTATATTAATGTATCTTTGTTTTTGGGCCCTGGTCTAGGCCTCAGACATTCCACAGTTACCTAGAGGACATCATCAGCTACCGCTGGGAGCTGGAAGAAGGGAAGCCCAACCCCCTGAGGGAAGCCAGCTTCCAGGACCTGCCTCTTCGCACGCGGGTGGAGATCCTGCATCGCCTCTGTGATTACCGTCTGGATGCTGACGATGTCTTCGACCTCCTCAAGGTATGCTTAACTGGAGAGCTCTTTCCCTGGAGCTGTAGAAAGCCAGCAATCCGAAATGAAGTCAGAATGTAAAACCCGAAGATAGGAAGCCAGAGTTTGGCTGGTGGTACTAGTCTTGGGGCTCTTCAGTGCCGATAACACTGTGTAGAAAACCATGATTGCTGTAGCCAAGGAAATGCCGGATGTACATCCCTATGGAAGTACGTTGTTTTGGTCTAACTTCTAGTCTGGTTTCTTTTTCCTGTACGTGCACTGGGTCCCAGCTGCGATAGGTACAACCAGAGGGCCCTGTTTGTTCTGTCATCAGCCAAACCTGCAACAAAATTAGCCACTGAATTTTATTTCCCAAGGTCTAAATTGGATTGAATATAATTGAAATTTCTGCTGAAATCTCCCAAAACTTGAAACCATATATGCTAGTGAAGTTCATCTTCTGCACACACATCCACACGACAAAAACGTGTTGAAGAAGGAAGCTGTGGCCATCTCTCTCCGCCCCCTTGGTGTGGTTATCTGTCTTAGAAGCATATCCTAGAGGGAGCTGTGCGTTATTGCTTTCAGTCGTAGAGAGGTTGGTTTCTAATCCTGTTCCGTCATCAGTGATTAAATGTGGTGATGACTTCTCAGTTGAGCTCTGTGCATGGACACGTTACAAAAATCACTGCGTAATTTAGCACGGTCTTTGCTGAGGACTCAAGGACTTCAGTGCAGCGAGAAGGCCAGTACAGGTCAGTCCCCGAGGTAAATCGGGAGCGCTGTCGCTGGAGCTCAGCTGGAATGAGAGGCCGCGGGAGGTTACGGCGCGGCTGCCACAGAGGATCCCATGGGCAAAGCTTGCCCTGTGCCCGACCCCCCTGGTTGTACTTGTCTTGCCTTTCAGGTGTACTCACATACAGCAGCAGCAGCTCCCAGCCAGTCTGTAAACTGCTCATCGAGACTGCTGTTGGGTTCTCTTTTTTGTGAAAAGGGAACGATGGTGGGGAGTGCTGTAATATTTCCATATCTTGTTCTTCAAAGTAGGTTCCACCTTCCCATTGTATCCGTGTTTCTTATGCCGATCGAAAATTACATATAAGATACTTGGGCATTTTTAGATTTGGGGTGTTCCTTAGTATAAATTCAGAATCCTCATTTTAGTTTATTCCTGGTGCATTTTGTTCCCCATTTCCCCAAACCCCTTTTTCTTGTTCTGCCTAGGGTCTGGATGCAGACAGTCTCCGCGTGGAGCCATTGGGTGAAGACAATTCTGGAGCACTCTATTGGTATTTCTATGGGACACGAATGTACAAAGAGGACCCGATACAAGGAAAATCCAATGGAGAGCTCTCTTCGAGCAGGTATATTCTTTAATGTCAGGGGAAGTTAGCTACTGCATTAAAATGTGATTAAATGCATGAGAATTATACAGCACAATTTTTTTTTTTCTAATGAAGGAATTCTCTAAGCATGCCTGTAAAGAGATGGTAAGAAGATATTTCTTGCAAATTCTCTGCCACCAGAGGGGTTAAAGAGACTTTTTGATCTGAAGTTCTTGAGAGGAGGTTTCTGAGACATGCCAGCCCTCCTCCCACAGACTGTTTTAACACAGCCGGTTTCTTCTCCGCAGTACAATCATTTCACTGCACGACCAGCTTTCACCTTTCACTGTCAATCCATGACATGTCCGTTTCTACTGGAATCAACGATCTAGTTGATGAACCTTAGTATCCATCAGTTTAAGAGCAAAAGGAACTTAAATGATGCCTGAAACATACGCCTTACTAAGTAAGGAAGAGGCCACATTTCCATAGCATCCTAAAATGCTAACCTCTTATTTAGGCTTTTTTTTTTTTTTCTTTTTTTTTTTTTAGACGGAGTTTCGCTCTTGTTACCCAGGCTGGAGTGCAATGGCTCAATCTCGGCTCACCGCAACCTCTGCCTCCTGGGTTCGAGCAATTCTCCTGCCTCAGCCTCCCAAGCAGCTGGGACTACAGGCACAGGCTGCCATGCCCAGCTGATTTTTATATTTTTAGTAGAGATGGGGTTTTACCGTGTTGACCAGGATGGTCTTGAGCTCTTGACCTCATGATCCACCCACCTCGGCCTCCCAAAGTGCTGTGATTATAGGCGTGAGCCACCGCGTCCGGCCCATTGAGGCCTTCTTACTGCGATGCTAGGAGCAGTGCTTACTCTTTGGAAGATAGGACAATTTAAGCACGTTTTAGTATTGTGAGATGTCAGTTCAGATCCATAGTCTAATAATGGAAGGCTGGAAGTGACTCTTTCCTGTCACCGCTACATCTAATCCTTTTTGGTAATCTCATGGCCAGAAGTACCGTTTTAAAATCATATGTAGCACGCCAATCCGATGCCAGAACATTTCTCTTTAATACTATTTAATAGGGAAATTGAAGGACAAAAAAACGTCTCAAGTATTCCTGGAAAAACGGGAAAAAGAAGAGGAAGACCCCCAAAACGGAAGAAACTACAGGAGGAGATTCTGTTGAGGTAAGAAAATCTCATTAGCTATGGCCATAGACCATGATGCCGGAAGGGACCTCCATTCATTTGTTCATTTTTCTTGATTTTGCCTGTGCCATGGGAAGCACATTGTTACGGGAACCGGAAACAGAGTCCTCATGAAATTACCACGTGTGCAGTACGGAAAAGGGAAGCCCTTCGTGTGTGGCAGCTGGCAAGTCACCTGCCCTCTCTAAGCAGGTTCTCTTACTAGACCGTGGATGTGCACATAATGAGGATTATATTGAACAAGAACATTTTTTCATTCTTCAATTTTATATTTAATTTTAGCAAAGAAGAAAGATACTTGGGGGACTTCTTTTATATGTCATTATGTTTTAGGAAGTTTCACCATGTGAATCTTGCTATGGTAGTTTTCAAAATCTGACCTATACTGTGTGAATACACTTTTTACATAAGGATCACTAAACCTATTGAACTGAGGCTGTATTTTTAAAAATTCTGATAACTCAGGACAAGTGGCTTTTTCCTCCCTTACTACTTAATCTAAATGCTTGAATTAGGCCAAATTTCACTGTGTTACTTTTTAACCACTAAGAAATATTTCTAGGAAATCAGATTAAGAATATAGATGACTCAGAATCTGATTTTTTAGAACTCAGTCAGCATCCACTTAACTTTCCAGAAATTCAGCTTCAGATTGCAGCTCTCTATTTCTTCCATATCAGTGGCAAATGTCCTGTAATTACTTGTGTTTTGTGTATGCAACACCTGTTTCTGGGTTTGGTTAATTCCACACATTCGATACTCAGGAACCCATGTGATCCCTGTCTCATTTTCCCCATAAGTATCAAGAACCACAGTAGCTTAGGGTTGGGATTGTAGAATCATTTTAACAAGTATCCATGGACTTGTGCTACCCTCTACTGGTGATTTTTTTTCCTTTAGAGCTGTGTATGTGAGCCAGTATTTCAATATTTTTAAATTAAATTTAAAATTCAGTTTCTCGTTCAGACTAGCTACATTTCAAGTGCTCAGCGGCCACATGGTTTGTGGCTACCATATTATATGGACAGCAGTAATGTAGACAATGTTCATTCTCACAGGAACTTGAATTGATCAGATACTGCTTAAGTACTTGAAAACAAAAAGTCCAGAGAGTTTCCTTTCTTTTTCAGGGACACAAGTGAAAATGACTCTTAATGCTCTTGTGCTATACACTTTGTGTTTTGTAATGTAATCTCCCACCCCCTGTGAGAAAGGCACTATTAATAGCTTCATTTTGGGGGAAAGTTAATTAACTTTCCTGAAGTCACATTGTAAGTGGCACAGCTTGAATAGAGGCGTTCCCACGGGGAGCCCATGCTCTTGTCCCTCTACATTAGGTAAGAACACGCTGTAATAGGCCTGCTTTCAGTCTGGCCCCGAAGCAGGGAGGACATTGGAATCCCTACACTTCTTTTTCCTTGCATATACCAGTTAACAATTGCATCTGTCTCCTTTGACTGAAGCAGTGATAAAGAACAAGAACAAACAAAAAAACAGTGCATCTGATTTCCAAAAAAAAAATTTAAAAGTGAACTGTTTTTTGGCCAGGCGCGCAGTGGCTCATGCTTCTTATCCCAGCACTTTGGGAGACCGATGCGGGAGGATCACGAGGCCAGGAGTTTGAGACCAGCCTGGCCAATATGGTGAAACCTTGTCTCTACTAAAAATACAAAAATTAGCTGGGCGCAGTGGCGGGTGACTGTAATGCCACCTACCCAGGAGGCTGAAGCAGGAGAATTATTTGAATCTGGGAGGCAGAGGTTGCAGTGAGCCAAGATTTGCACTCCAGCCTGGGCAAGAGGGCAAGACTCCCATCTCAAAAAAATAAAAATAAACAAATAAGTGACTGTTTTCTTAGGCATTGATACTGTTGCCATAACTTTGGGTAACTTCCCCTCTAGACCAGCATGCCTGCATCCTGGTGTTCATTGATTCAGCCTTCCGCCTCCAAGCCTCGTCCCCTTAACACACACATACACTCTGTGTTAAATTAACTGGGTCTGCCGTCCTGGGATAGCACAGAACCATTTTGGACCTGTCTTAGTTTTAATTGGTACCTCTTTTTCCTGTGTTTCAGTGAAAAGCAGGAAGAAAACTCCTTGGCATCCGAGCCGCAGACAAGACATGGTAATGTTCTTTGCTAGCGTTTAGAAAGAATTAAGTAAACATGATTGTTCATGGTAGGGTGTTGACTCTTCATCTTTTTCCAGAGCCACACAAAGTACAGGCTATTGCAATAACCTTGTACCTACCCTTTGTACTGTTCTTCAGTTCTCTTCCTAACATCTTACCTTGTACCCAGCTCACCATCTGACTGGGGATTAAGATCAGAAGTGCCCTGTTTACTAGGCACAGTATAATAGACACCTCAGCATTGGAGTGAATAACCAGCTGCTCAGAGAGATGTCTTTTTAATGTCAGTGTTTCATGACACAGTGGTTTCTACACACTATGGTTTACTATACACTAGTTTCCCACCTAGATTTTAATTTTGTTATCCAGATAGCATATATATGGGAGGCAAATAGCAGTTTGCAGTATCACAGTGTAGTTGAGGCAAGATAGACTCCACAAAGACTCAGAAACACGTCTGTCAGTAAATGTAATCATTTCTAGGTTGTGAATATCTATCCTGTTAAAGTCACAGTAGTTGTACTTGTATTGCCTTTAGGCATGTTTTTTAGTTGTTAACCGTGACTTTAACAAGAAAACCAGAAGTATACATATGTCAACTTTAAAATTAAAAAGAGGCCCTTAAGGTGGCTCATACCCGTAATCCCAGCACTTTGGGAGGTCGAGCTGGGTGGATCACTTGAGGTCAGGAGTTCGAGACCAGCCTGGCCAACATGGTGAAACCCCATCTCTACTAAAAATAGAAAAATTAGCTGCGTGTGGTGGCGGGCACCTGTAATCCCAGCTACTCAGGAGGCTGAGCTAGGAGAATCACTTGAATCCGGGAGGCGGAGACTGCAGTGAACTGAGATGGCGCCACTGCAGTCTTGACTACAGAGCGGGACTCCATGTCTAGATTGATGGATGGATGGATATAGAGAGACAGACA